GTTGTTTTTCTGATTTCTTTAGGCAAGGTATCAGGTTGTTAACTTGAGATCTTTCTATCTTCTTGGTATAAAAGTTTAGCACTATAAACCCTCCTAACACTGCTTTTGCCACATTCCAAGGTTTTGTTACATTTTGTCACTTTTTTTTTTTTTTTTTTTTTTGAGACGGAGTCTCACTCTGTCACCCAGGCTGGAGTGTAGTGGCGCTATTTCCCACTCACTGCAACCTCTGCCTCCTGGGTTCAAGTGATTCTCCTGCCTCACTCTCCCAGGTAGCTGGGATTACAGGCACCTGCTACCACGCCCAGCTAATTTCTTGTATTTTTAGTAGAGATGGGGTTTCACTATGTTGGCCAGGCTGGTCTTGAACCCCTGATCTCGTGATCTGCCCACCTCGGCCTCCCAAAGTGCTGGGATTACAGGTGTGAGCCACCGCACCCAGCCTCGTCACCATTTTTATTTGTTTCAAGTAAGTTTCTGATTTCTGCCTTAATTTCATTGTTTCCCCAAAAGTCATTCCAGAACAAGTTGTTTTGTTTTCTGTATTTGTGTAGTTTTGAGGGTTCCTCTTGCTATTGAGTTTTGAGTTTATTTCACTCTGTTTCAAGAAGATGATTTCAATTTTTCTGGATTTTTGAAATTTGTTTTATGACTGAGCATGTGGTCAGTCTTAAAGTATGTTCTGTGCACAGATGAGAATGTATGTATGTGTTCATTAGATGAATTATTCTGTAGATGTCTATGAGGTCCAGTTGGTCAAGTGCTGAGTTTAAGTCCAGAATTTCTTTGTTAGTTTTCTGCCTTGATGATCTGTAATGCTATCTGTAAGGTGTTGTCTTCCACTATGGCTGGCTAAGTCTTTTTTTTAGGTCCAGTAATAATTGCTTTATAAACCTGGGTGTGCCAATGTTGGGTGCATACATATTTAGGATAGTTAAATATTATTGATTTATCTATTTATTTATTGAATCCTTTATTAGTATGTAATGTGTTTGTCTTTTTTACTATTGTTGGTTTAAAATCTATTTTATTAATATAAGAATAGTGACCACTGCATTTTTTTGTTTGTTGGTTTTTTTCCCATTTGTGTGATAGATGTTACTTTTTCCCTTTACTTTGAGTTTATGGGTGTCATTATATGTGAGATGAGTTTTTTAAAGCCAGCAGAAGGTTAAGTCTTATTTTTTTTAAATCTGATTTGCCACTTTGTGTCATTTTCGTTTTAATTTTTAGAATTTTTTTATTTTTTTTTTGGAGACAGAGTCTCACTCTGTCACCCAGGGTGGAGTGCAGGCATGATCTCAGCTTCCTGAAACCTCTGCCTCCCGGTTTCAAGTGATTCCCTTGCCTCAGCCTCCCGAGTAGCTGGGATTACAGGCACGTGCCACCACTACGGGCTAATTTTTGTATTTTTAGTAGAGACGCGGTTTCACCATGTTGGCCAGGCTGGTCTCAAACTCCTGACCTCAGGTGATTCACCTGTGTCAGCCTCCCAAAGTGCTGGGATTACAGGCACAAGCCACCATGCCTGGCCACCACTTCGTGTCTTTTAAGTGGAGCATTTAGACTGCTGTGTTCAAGGTTAATATTGATATCTTAGTTTTTGTTCGCTTCATGTGCTCTGTAGTCTTGATTGTGCAGTTGCTTTGTAGGGTCTGTGGGCTATGTACGTATGTGTGTTTTTGTGATAGTAGGTATCATTCTTCCATTTCCATGTTTAGAACACTCTTAAGCAGCTTGTGATGCCAGTTGAGTGGTAGTTAATTCACTTAGTGATTGCTTGTGAATTCTTTGCTTATGAAACTTAGTTTGCTGGAACATAAAATTCCCAACTGTAATTTCTTTCTTTTTTTTAATCTTTTTGTTGTTGTTGTTGTTGTTGTTGTTGTTGAAATGGAGTTTCACTCTGTGGCCCAGCCTGGAGTGCAGTGGTGCAATCTCAGCTCACTACAACCTCCACCTCTGGGGCTCAAGCAATTCTCATGCCTCAGCCTCCCCAGTAGCTGGGACTACGGGTGAGCGCTACCATACCCGGCTAATTTTTTATATTTAATAGAGGCAGGCAGCTAACTTTTTGTGTTTAATAGAGGCCGGCTTTCACCATGTTCCCCAGAGTGGTCTCGAACTCCTGAGCTCAGGTTATCTACCCACCTTGGCCTCCCAAAGTGCTGGGATTACAAGCATGAGCACTGCACCTGCCCTCTTTCTTTAAAAATGTTAAAAACAGACCCCCCAATATCTTCCAGATTGTAAGGTTTCTGTGAGGAAGTCCACTGTTTGATAGAATTCATTTTTTAGGTAATATGACCCTTTTCTCTGGTTGCCTTTTGTTTTTTTTATTTCATGTTGACCTTGGAAAGTCTGAATACTATGTGTATAGTATTCAGATACTATACTTATACTTAGGGATGGTTGTCTTGTATAGTATCTCAAAGGAGTTCCTTGAATTTCTTGTATCTTTATGTCAACCTGTCTAGCAAGATGGGAAAATATTTCGTAGATTATATCCTTAAGTATGTTTTCCAAGTTGGTTAGTTTTTTTCCTTCTCTCTCAGGAATACTAATGAGTCATAAGTTTGACCCCTTTACATAATTCCGTATCTCTCAGAAGCTGTGTTTGTTTGTAGTGAATTCTTTTTTCTTTACTGTCTTCTGACTGGGTTGATATAAAGGAGCAGTCTCTGAGCTCTGAAATACTTTCGTCTGCTTCGTCTATTCTGTTTTTAAGGCTTTGCATCGTATTTTGAAAGTCCCGTAGTAAAATTTACAATTTTTAAAGTTGTGTTTGGCCGGGCGTGGTGGCTCAAGCCTGTAATCCCAGCACTTTGGGAGGCCGAGACGGGCGGATCACGAGGTCAGGAGTTCGAGACCATCCTGGCTAACACGGTGAAACCCCGTCTCTACTAAAAAATACAAAAAACTAGCCGGGCGAGGTGGCGGGCGCCTGTAGTCCCGGCTACTCGGGAGGCTGAGGCAGGAGAATGGCGTAAAAACCCGGGAGGCAGAGCTTGCAGTGAGCTGAGATCCGGCCACTGCACTCCAGCCTGGGCGACACAGCGAGACTCCGTCTCAAAATAAATAAATAAATAAATAAAAATAAAATAAAGTTGTGTTTGGTTCTTTCAAAGGAACTAATGAGATCCTTTTGAGGTATGAAACACTCTGGCGTTCTATATTGCCAGCGTTCTTTTGCTGTCTCATCTGAGGGAGCTGGTGCTTCTTTTGCTTTTGAATTTTCTGTGATTTGGATGGGGCTTGAAAATGTTTTTTAATTCTTTTTTTTCCTTGAGGTTTTGGCTGTGGTGTATGTTGTGTGTAATCAGCTGGTGTCATTTAAGGTTGTTTTCAGAGGCAGAGGCTCTGTCTAGGTCCCTGGGTTGTAGATAAGTTCCTGCAGTGGATTTCATAGAGTGCTTCGTGTTGAAGCAATGGATTCTTGTTTGTGGTGGAATTCAGGCTTCAGTCCAAGTACATGGTGCTTAAGAGTGTTCTGGGGAGGGAAGATCGTGTGTGAGAAATTATTTTCTCTCCAAATTTATTTTGGGGCCTTGGTGATATTCCCTTCAACTGCTGGCACTGCACCCATTTCCTTTGCTTCAAGGAGGGCTTTGATGGTCTGTGCTCCCCCCTCCCTTAGGGACAGTTCACACTTTTAGGTCACCAGGAGACCCGTATTTATATCAGGGGTCCTGCCGTTCTCCTTTGTTTGCGAAAGTAAGGGTGGGTTTTGGAATGTTTCTGTGAGTCGTTTGGTGATGCAGCGGCTCGAGGATGGAAAATCACCAGGCAGGGCAATTGCACCATGGGTTTGTAACCAGTATTGCACCTGCAGCCCAGGATTTTTAGTCCAGCGGATGGCTGTGGGGCCCACCCAGTCTGTGGTCCCTCAACTCAGCAGGTCTGTCTCCAGTGTCTTCCCTGGGAGCAGGCTGAATTGGCGAGGCTTGTTCCAAGCCATCTGCATTGAAATGGCTGAGCTCTTCCAGATGTTCTAGGCTGCTAGGCTTCCTGGGATATAAACCATGGCTGGTCATCTGGCCACACCCTTCCCAGTTTATTCATGTGAATGAAGGGGAAGCCAGCTCCCAAGCTGGCTCATGTTCCCATGTCACACTCTTCTCTGTGTGCTGACACTGTGGGCTTCTACCCCACTTAAGCTCAGACCACATATATCAGCTGAATATTATTAGTCAGTGTGCGGAAGACCTGGGCAGCTGGCCCTGGGCCCATGGATTTGTCCTCTGGCCCTTTGGGGTCAAGCACCATCTGTGATGTAAGTGGATGCTGTGCTGTGGGCACCCTTCTGCAGGACCAGCCAGATTCATGGTGCATGGATCAGATTCACCTCAGTCCCATGACAGCTACAATCCTGCTCCCTCTCAGCCTGGCAGACAGCAGGAGATGGATCCCCTCAGTGCAAGATGCAGAGCCTCGGAGGATGGGCACCTATGGTCAGCTACAGCTGCACAGCACAGTGAAAACTTCAGATTTCCACAAGAGTTTAAGCTGTGCCTCTGCCTATTCTCCAGGTGGCTCCCCCTGCCAGTTCACAGACGTATAGGGATCATATGAGATCCTATAATCAGGAGCTCAGGCTAGATTTAGCTGGGAAATGCCTTTCAAGGAGAAGGAACCAAAGTGAGAATCTCAGAGGTCCATGGCTAGACTGTGTTGCCATGGGGTTTCTTCACATATCCCTTCCTTAAGTCTGGTCTGGATCTAGGAGGCAGTCCTGGTGCCCAGTGACTTTGAGCAAGCTTTCCATCTTCCTCTTCAGCCACAGTGTCTGCATTTCTTCTGAATTAAGCTTTCTCTCAAAAGATCTGTTTAGAGTGTGATGTTTTACTCAACATTTTGTTTTCTCTCCTTGGAGTGAGTGTTTCCCAGCTGCATCTAGTAAGTCATTCTGTCCTTTTCTTAATTTTCTATGTTAGCTTTGTAAAGTATATGTATCTGACTGAAAATAACAAGTGGGATATTTTGTTAATTTTATATTCCAGCTGTGTCTTCTCATTGCACTGAAGACTTTTTGCCAGAACAGGGCATGAAAGATTCATTCCAAAAGGTGATACTGAGAAGATATGGAAGCTGTGGACTTGAGGATTTACACTTAAGGAAAGATGGGGAAAATGTGGGTGAGTGTAAGGATCAAAAAGAAATTTATAATGGACTTAACCAGTGTTTGTCAACTCTACCTAGCAAAATTTTCCCATATAATAAATGTGTGAAAGTCTTTAGTAAATCGTCAAGTCTAAAGAGACAAAGCATAAGACATACTACAGAGAAACTTTTCAAATGTGTACAATGTGGCAAAGTCTTTAAATCTCACTCAGGCCTTTCTTATCATAAGATAATTCATACTGAAGAGAAACTCTACATATGTGAGGAATGTGGTAAAACCTTTAAATGGTTCTCATACCTTACTAAACATAAGAGGATTCACACTGGAGAGAAACCATACAAATGTGAAGAATGTGGCAAAGCTTTTAACTGGTGCTCGACCCTTACTAAACATAAGAGAATCCATACTGGTGAGAAACCCTACAGATGTGAAGAATGTGGAAAAGCCTTTCACTGGTGTTCGCCCTTTGTTAGACATAAGAAAATTCATACTGGAGAAAAACCCTATACATGTGAAGAATGTGGCAGAGCGTTTAACCGGCACTCACATCTCACCAAACATAAGACGATTCACACTGGAAAGAAACCCTACAAATGTAAAGAATGTGGGAAAGCCTTCAACCACTGCTCCCTACTTACTGTACATGAGAGAACCCACACGGGAGAGAAACCCTATAAATGTGAAGAATGTGGCAAAGCTTTTAACTCATCATCAATTCTTACTGAACATAAGGTAATTCATAGCGGAGAGAAACCCTACAAATGTGAAAAATGCGACAAAGTCTTTAAGAGGTTCTCATACCTTACTAAACACAAGAGAATTCACACTGGAGAGAAACCCTACAAATGTGAAGAATGTGGCAAAGCTTTTAACTGGTCCTCAATCCTTACTGAACATAAGAGAATTCATACTGGAGAGAAACCCTACAACTGTGAAGAATGTGGCAAAGCCTTTAATCGGTGCTCACACCTTACTAGACATAAGAAAATTCATACTGCCATCAAACATTATAAATGTGAAGAATGTGGCAAAGCTTTTAAACGATGCTCACATCTTAATGAACATAAGAGAGTTCAAAGAAGAGAGAAATCCTGCAAGTATAAAAAATGTGGGGAAGCTTTTACTCACTGCTCAAACCTTACTACGTAAGAATTTTTACTATCGAGAAATCCTACAAATATAAGGAATGTGGCAAAGTCCTTAAATCTTGCTCAAGCCATTGAAGTCACAAGATAATTCATACTGAAGAGAAACACTACAAATGTGAAGAATATGGGAATGTCTTCAACCACTGCTCATACTTTATTGCACATAAGAAAATTCATACTGAGAAAAATTCTGATTTTAAAGAATGTGGCAAAGTGTTTAATAACTATGAGCGGGGGGGGTCAGTGTCAGCACTTTGGAGGGGCGGGGATACGAGTAGGAGACGAGAATTGGTAATGGTGAAAGCCTAAAAAAAAAAAAATAGGGGGGGGAGGCGTGAGAGACGGGGGCGAGAGGAGATGGCGTGAGGAGGGGTTGGTGAGTAAGACGGATGATAGTGGCGAAGAGAGATGTTAAAAAAAATAAAAAATAAAAAATAACTGCTATGAGCTTACTCATGAGAGGTTTTATGCTAGATAAAAGCAATAAAAGTATAATGATACACATTACATTTATCTGTGGAAAGATGTCACCAAATAAAAGCCTTCGAGTGCACAAGGTGTAATGTTAGTGATACATTTGTACGTGGAAAGGCTTCAAAAATATAAGCCTTAGAGTAACATAAGAGTTTTTATCCTGAAGAAAAACATTACAAATACAAAGATTGGTGCAATACTTTTACTTATGTTACAGATTTTGTTGTACATGGGAGAATTTATGCTGAAGGGTAACCCTCTAACAGTTGCTCAAATTTTATTCAATTTTAGAGAATTTATATTGGAAAGAAACCCTACAACTGTAATGAATATGAAAAAAATGTTTTAAAAGTACACCTTAGAAAACGCTAGAGAGTTTATATGAAAGCATTTAACAGATGCAATAAATATAAAAAATTAATCAAAAATCAAGTCTGAATGAATATCAGAAGATTCACAGTAGAAACCACTAAGATGCTAACACTTTCAATGTTATTCTAAATCAGGGTATGGATTACAAAGAATAATTCAAAGTTAACATAATTTAGTTAGGCTAAACAGGAATAAGAGACTAATATTTTAGAACTTAAAACTGTATTCAAAGTACACTGTTTTTTGCATTGAAAGAGTTTTAGATTTTTACAAAGGCAAATTTTGATGTAATTCAACTCTCAAATTACTTGATGCTGTGTCTTTATTCCTAGTGTCTGTGTAAAAGCATGTGGTCAATTTCTGCTGCTCGGAGCTTTGAGAGGTTCCATATTAGGATATCATTTATATGCTTTTCAACAGAAGATTGAGGACACTGAAATGTGAGGTGTGTGAAGAAAGTCTACACGGAGAAGCTTTTGTGGTTGACTTATAAAACTGTTGTAAGTGCTGCATGAGATAGATGTTCATAGTAATAGTCTTGTGCATTATTCAAATTTTAGTAAATTGTTTTACCGATTGTACATTAATATAGTGGATTTTGTAATGCTTTTCTTAGACTGTGTGAACTTCATTTGTTTTAATAAAACAAAATTGTTTTAATGTGTTAAGACAGTTGTGCATTGAATTAGGTGTTATCCTGCCACCAACATTAGCCTATTTTACCTTACTCAAGTTTTTAGGTAACAGACAGTAACAACATACTGTTCAGTAATATGGTGGCATGGCGTCTCTAGTGATTCTTATCCTTAGTGACTTTAAACTTCAAATACGTTGGAGAATACTGTTTCCATAGGTTACATTTTTATTATTTTTCTTCGAACTATAGAGTCATTAAGATGGTTATTATGAAAATTACACAGGCATATAATCAAAAGCCATATATTTCTGAATCTTAAATGAGTATGTAGAAGATGTTATCTTACATTTTTCTTTGAACATGCAACCTCTATGGCCTTCCCAACACACATAGACTCTAAGTTTTCACTTACATGAAAGTTTAATATATAAACGTGTTACTCTAAAGATAAAATGTAAGAGAATTATGAAGCAAGTAATTGTATTTGAATGTGGATGTGTACCTATTTTGAGAAGAAAGAAAATGTGTTAGAACAAATTGGTAATTTTTAAAGTGTTGATAAGTTACTACCAAACTAAAAACCTTAAAGAATTTCAAAGCAAATGTTTTTCCCATATGTATTGAATTCATTTTTCTAAAACCTTATGGTTCCTAGTTCAGAATATCCTTATGTAAGTCCAGGTTTTACTTACCTGATATTGATAGTAGACCTAATGCATCAAAATTTATAAAGTATTCTTTATATAATCTGCTCCAGAATTATTGGAAATTGGAAATTAATGGTGCTTGCAAAACAATGTAAACATGTAATTCCATAGTAAGTGTATTGTAACATTTTATTTAGTACATTTTTTTTCAGTTGGAGAACTCTATGTCAATTTTTCCTTTGTTGTTCTTTTAATTTTTATAATTAACAACATTGAGTTTATTGATCTTATTGTGTTAATTTCTTTAGGTGAACACTAGGGAGATGCCATCAGTCATGGTAGTGTTTATTTCTTTTTTTACCAACTCCTATGTCTCTACATCAGACGTGGTGTTGTTTAGACATAAATGAAGTGAACAAACACAGAAAATGACTACATGCGTGAAAGCACTACCATGTGTTATACACACTCCATAATTAGTGTTCCAGTTGGAGTGAGTTGGTGGCTCCAGGAGATGAAAATTATTCAGATGAAAACATGGCATTGATTCTTCATGTCTGGAGAGGGCGTGTGTACCCAGGCTACACAACTGACTCTAAATTTAGAGGAATTGTGCTGCTTTCATTTTCTAATATCTTCAGGTTTCATTTATGTCCATCCCCAGTTATGTATGCATCAGAGTCCTTCACCTTTTTTTTTTTGGTTTTGTTTTGTTTTGTTTTGTTTTGTTTTGTTTCGTGAGATGGAGTCCCACTCCGTCGCCCAGGCTGGAGTGCAGTGGCGCGATCTCAGCTCACTGCAAGCTCTGCCTCCCAGGTTCATGCCATTCTTCTGCCTCAGCCTCACAAGTAGCTGGGACTACAGGTGCCCACCACCACCATGACTGGCTAATTTTTTGTATTTTTAGTAGACATGGGGTTTCACTGTGTTAGCCAGTATGGTCTCGATCTGACCTCATGATCTGCCCGCATTGGCCTCCCAAAGTGCTGGGATTGCAGGCGTGAGCCACTGCGCTCGCCCTCCCTTCACCTTTTTACCTGAGTCACGGTTGCAGCTTTCTCACTGTTCTCCCCACCCCATGTTATTTTACACACTACTTTGTAAGCTCTCATGAGAAGTTTGGAGTGCTTATTGTGGTAAAAAAACAAAAAAAAAAAAAAAAAAAAAAAAAACCTTTTAAACTTAAAATTTGTAGTCATTTACAGGTTGTAAATGCAGTCTTTGGTTTTGAATTTTTTGATATTTTTTGAGACAGAGTTTTGCTTTTGTTGCCCGGGCTGGAGTGCAGTGGCACAACCTTGGCTCACGGCAACCTCCATCTCCCAGGTTCAAACGATTATACTGCCTCAGCTTCCCAAGTAGCTGGGATTACAGGTGCCCAACACCACACCTGACTAATTTTTTTTGTAGTTTTAGTAGAGACAGAGTTTCACCATGTTGGCAAGGCTGGTCTCCAACTCTTGACCTCAGGTCACACCAGGCCTAAATGCAGTCTTTGGATTACTTAACTGAAGTAAGTTGGATTCACTCTCTACAGGTCACTGGATTTAATCAGTCAGTTAGCATTGTTCACCTTTGTAAAAGAAAAATGTTACTCTATTCTATCACAGAGTGTGTACAATATACAATTAGGTATAACAGGTAAATCATTAATAGCATTGTGCCATATATTGTAAGCACCCTATAAAGAAACACATCAGAGGCCGGGCACGGTGGCTTACGCCTGTAATCCCAGCACTTTGGGAGGCCGAGGCGGGCGGATCACAAGGTCAGGAGATCGAGACCACGGTGAAACCCCATCTCTACTAAAAATACAAAAAATTAGCCGGGCGCGGTTGTGGGCGCCTGTAGTCCCAGCTACTCGGGAGGCTGAGGCAGGAGAATGGCGTGAACCCGGGAGGCGGAGCTTGCAGTGAGCCAAGATCGCGCCACTGCACTCCAGCCTGGGCGACAGAGCGAGACTCCATCTCAAAAAAAAAAAGAAACACATCAGAATTGGAAATCTCTTAAGAGAAAATATATCTTAGAAATAAATTCTTAAGAAGTGTCAATAGTAGTTGAATGTTTAATTTAACTTTTTATGAAATACTTATAGCACAACTTATATTTCCATGCAGAATCTTCTGTTTATGAGTGTGTGTGCTAAGTGTTGAACAATAATAGAATGACTACTCTGGATTTTTTAAAAAGCCTAAGAACCAGGAGAGCAGGCCATGAGGACATCACCATTTAATATTGAGTGGACATCCTGATGATATTTACTGTGTTTAACTCTGCAGATAGAATTGAGGCCCTGTGATTACCTGCTTTCTTCATTGAATTATGCCAAGCAGCCACAAAAGGGACTGCACAAGTTAAGTGCTTAATATGCATGTAATTAGTGAATGGAGCCTAACCACAGCCTTCCAAAATGTCTAAGTGGGCCTGAGGCCCATCTCTCAGCACCCAGGGACCTCTGTTATGTCTGTGTGAAGGACAAAGACCAGCTAAAAGAATTGCCTTGGGAGACCGAGGCAGGCAGATCATGAGGTCAGGAGATCAAGACCATCCTGGTCAACATGGTAAAACACCGTCTCTACTAAAATACAAAAAAAAATTACCCAGGGTGTTGTCACATGCCTGTAGTCCCAGCTACTCGGGAGGCTGAGGCAGGGGAATCACTTGAACCTGGGAGTCAGAAGTTGCAGTGAGCCAGGATCACACCACTGCACTGCAGCTGGGCAACAGAGACTCCACCTCAAAAAATAAAAAAGAAATACTAACTATAATAATAACAACTCTTCGGCCGGGCGCGGTGGCTCAAGCCTGTAATCCCAGCACTTTGGGAGGCCGAGACAGGCAGATCATGAGGTCAGGGGATCAAGACCATCCTGGCTAACACGGTGAAACCCTGTCTCTACTAAAAAAAATACAAAAAACCAGCTGGGCGAGGTGGCGGGCACCTGTAGTCCCAGCTACTCGGGAGGCTGAGGCAGGAGAATGGCATAAACCTGGGAGGCGGAGCTTGCAATGAGCTGAGTTCCGGCCACTGCACTCCAGCCTGGGCGACAGAGCAAGACTCCATCTCAATAAAAAAACAAAAACAAAAACAAAAAACAAACCAAAAAAAAACTCTTCTGTTCATGAGTGGCCCTTCAGATGGTGACATTAGAGTTCCCAACATAAGGAAAGTGGCCCTAAATCCCCTGCACAACTCCCTTTTTTGTACTGACCCCATGATGTAAAATTCTGCCATTTATTCATTTGCCACAAACAAACTTCCTTTACAATGGCAAAAAGCATTGCTTCAGATTGTGACTGTTTTTGGACATAGGGTCATTAAAGAGGTAATTAAGATTGTGAGTTCACTGACGTGGGACCTAATTAAATATAGCGGGTTCTTAGAAGAAGAGGTAGTAAAGACAGAAGTACAAGAGAAGATTCTGTTAACACAGAGTTAGAAGACAGCCATCTACAAGCCAAGGAGAGAGCCTTGGAGAAGTTATTCCACCAACATCTGTTAGATTTCTAATTTCCAGAACTGCAAGAAACTAAATTGCTGTTTTTAAGGCCCTTCCATTCTGTGATGCTGTGTTATGGCAGTCCTAGCAAACTATTACAGCCTATTAGTACACACACACAATATTCCCTGCAGCATGACTGACATGGAAAGAGGATGGTATACCATGCTGCATCAGCATTGAAAGACTAAACCACTGTGGGGAAGAGCCTCCCTTATGGCATATTATGAAGACATGTGTGCACACCTCCTTCCCTGATGGGATATGGGGATGAGTTCTTGAGATGACACATTACAGGAACATGCATAAGGTAGTCTCACCTCCTTTTTTTGTACAACACATTCCCCCACTTTTGCGTAAAAACTTCCCTAGTAATAGTGTTGGCTTTTAAGTTTTGGAGAAGGTCTGTAGGACTGAAGCTGCATGCCACAGGAGATGCCTGGAGGGGGGAGTTAAAACAATACAAACGATAGCAACATGCAAAAATGCTCATGGCCTAATGTAAAGTGAAAACAAGATGAAAGCCTTTTCTCTAATATTTCTACAAGTGTGTGAACAGAGACTTCCCACCTAATCAAGTTGCCACTGGGACGAATGAAGGCCAGACTGTATTGAAACAGGACTGTGGGTCACTCCTGGGAAGGCCCTAGGACAGAGATCAGAGAGTTTCCATATTTCAATCTGGGACCTGGGCCTGTCCTGGTCTTCTCAGGTTCCGATCTCTAGAGACCCCTAGATGCCTGCTGTCGCCACAGCCCAGTGCTGACTAAGGTTGGTGGTGTAGGGCACCCGGTCTTTTTCCAAAGAGATGGAGGAGTTACACTCATCAAACAGCTCCTCATTAATCTGAATGTGACTCTGTAAAGATTGCCCAGCAGCCAAGGTGAAAGAGATGAATTGCCTGCCTTTTTTTTACCATAGATGACACCTCTATTGAAATTTTGCTGTTCAGATCAGGCACATAGGAACGTCTGCATAGATCTTCAGCCAGGAAGGAAACCAGAGGACAGCTTAAAGTCTTGGGATTCACATGTGAGTAGACAAACTTGGTCCCCATTTTGCCAGCCATGACCTGGATGTGAACATGACAGACCCACAAGAGTTTCAACTTTTGACAACCTGGTTCTGTCCAGGAAGAATGCCCTCACCTCTTCATCCCCCTGCAAGACATGGCAATGGGGGACAATGTGGGGCTGTCTAGATGAAATGACAAGAGAGGACTGGCCTGGATGTGTTCTGGGTTGCCCTGTTATCTGCGGGTGCGCCTCATTAGAAATGAGGGCTGAGTGAACATCTGCATTTTCAGAGAAGGCTTTTAGTTTGAGCCTTTGTAAGGCTAAAACTCAGAAATGTAAGGATACCATGGAAGAGCATGTTACTCTCTTGAGCATCTCTCACCAAAGGAGCTGGATACAGAGTTGTCTCTAGGAGGTGGGGTCCTGGTTTTCTAAGTTCTGTTGGGTTCCATCACCAAGGAAGTATGTTAGTCTCTTCAAGGTTCCATCCACCGGCCCCTTCTTTCTATAAGACCTACCCAAAGGCCCCAATGATTACTCAGCCTCCTCTCCCATGTCAGGCCTCTATTTGTATGTAATTGTGAAATCACACCTCCCCCTTAATTTCCTGGGAAGACCTAAATGCAGCCTGGGCTTTAGAATAGAAGAGACAGCTGGGTCAGACCTTGTTTATCTTACCATTTCTGTGACCCAGTAAAAGCCATTGTCTATTTTGGGGCTTCCCCAGCCTCCTACCATGCACAGTGGGGATTATGCTAGCATCTACCTCCTAGGGAATTTTTCAAGTGTATATGAGACAAAACTTATAAAAATCATGGTGTAGGCTGGGTGCAGTGGCTCAAGCCTGTAATCCCAGCAATTGGGAGGCCTAGGTGGGTAGGTCACCTGAAGCCAGGAGTTCGAGACCAGTTGTCCAACATGGTGAAACCCCATCTCTACTAAAAATACAATAACCGGGCATGTTGTTGTGTACTTGTAATTTCAGCTACTCAGGAAGCTGAGGAAGGAGAATCACTGGAGCCCAGGAGACAGAGGTTGCAGTGAGCCAAGATCATGCCATTGCACCCCAGCCTGGGCAACAGAGTGAGACTCCGTCTCAAAAATAAAAAAAAGAAAAGAAAAAGAAACATGCAATGACAATTTGGGCCCTGACATCACCAAGCTTATTCTTCACAGGCTTCAGTTGACCATATTGGTTCCAATCAACTTCAGCCCATTTTAAAAAATCTCTTAAGCAAAGGAAATTTCAGTGTTTCAACAAGTTGTTTCTTATTTGTCATTCGGATAACCCAACATTTTAGTTGTAGGTTTTGTTTTGTTTTGTTTTAACACTTTGGGGACAAAAATTCCACTTCTGTCCAATGGAGTGCGAAATGATAGGGTATGATTTTTTGTTGCAGTTCAGGCTGCCATACCAAAGAACCATGGACTAGGAAGCTTATAAGGAACAGAACTTAATTTCTCACACTTGTAGGGGTTGGAAATGTGGGATCAAAGTGTCAGCATGGTTGAACTCTGGTGATGACTCTCCTGAACTGCAGACTGTGTACTTAGGATTTTATCATTTGGCAGAAGGAGGGAGATAGCCCTCTGGGGTATCTTTTTTAAAGCCAGTAATCCCAATCACAAGGACCCCACCTTCAGGACTTAATTATGCCCTGCCTCATAGTACCATTATTCTGAGGGTTAGAACTTTCACACAAATATAGGGGGAGAAATCGTAACTCTCAAGATTATATATAGATTTCTAAAAACTGTCATTTTCTTCCTACTTGCTCTGTCCTGTTTGCTCCCTCAGTCTCTCTTTTTTTGTGTTTCTGTTTAATTCTCTGTTTCTGTATTGTATTCCTCAAACTGACAGCAAATTCCAATGTAGAAGATGCTCTATGACAGACCCACATAAAAAGAACTGAGGGAGTGCTCATGCCAATAGATGGAAGAAACTTGGGCTTTCCGGCCACATGAAATCTTGCCAGTTTCCACATGAGTGAGTTTAAAGCTGATCCTTCCCTACTCCAGCTTCTGTTGAGAAGTCCAGTTTCTTATGAGGCCTAAGCCTCCTAACGACCTTGAGGAAGAGGCTCCTAACTAAACTGTGTCCAGTTTCTGGTCCCACAAATTGTGAGATAGTATTTGTTGTTGAAAGGTGCTAAGTTTCAGGGCAATGTTTTAAGAAAGAAGCAGATAACTAGTCTCATCTCCCAGGCCCCAAGATTCTCCATCCTTCTTCTCTCTCAGGCTCTCTGCAGCCACAGTGGTCCCTTTCTAACTTCTGCCCAACTCACACCTGTGAGTCTCTTTACTAACAGTGGCTTCTCTTGACACATTCTTGTTGGGAGCAGATCGCCTAAAATCTGGCCATAAACTTGCCCCAAAACTGGCCATAAATAAAATATCTGCAGCACTGTAACATGTTCATAATAGCCCTAACGCCCAAGCTGGAAGGTTGTAGGTTTACAGGAATGAAGGCAAGGAATACCTGGCCCACCCAGGGTGGAAAACCACTTAAAGACATTTCTTAAGCCACAAACAATAGCATGAGTGATCTGTGTCTTAAGGGCATGTTACTAGCCCAACCTATCCCTTTAATTCGGCCCATCCCTTCATTTCCCATAAGGGAAACTTTTGGTTAATTTAATATCTATAGAAACAATGCTAATGACTAGTTTGCTGTTAATAAATATGTAGGTAAATCTCTGTTCGGGACTGTCAGCTCTGAAGGCTGTCAGACCCCTGATTTCCCGCTTCACACCTCTATATTTCTATGTGTATGCCTTTAATTCCTCTAGCACCACTAAGTTAAGGTCTCCCCGATTGAGCTGGTCTCGGCAAGTGGCGCCAAATGTGGGGCTCGAATCTCAGTCCAAGGGTCGCTGGAGTGACGGTTGGAATGGAAAACTAGCTGGAGGACACCCAAGTACTCTTAAAAGTAATCCCCTTGGTGAGTAAGGAGAGGAGCTCGGAAGTGTCAAGGTAGCAATGGGACAAGTATAGGATCTGGTTCGTTTCACCTTGGAACTTTTTCACACTGATAATAAGGAGGAACAAGAGTATAGTGAAGTAACAGAAAAGGTTACAGATAATGTTTATTTGCCAGCTAAAGCCAAAGCGGCAAAGGAAGGAGAGGTTCATCCCTACCCTTCTGCACCCCCTCATTATTATTTTGAAGAAAATGACCCCCCAGATCTTTCCTTTCTGGAGGACACTAGGCAAAAAGTAGTTGCCCCAGTGACTGTTCAAGCAGCACCTCAAGCAATGGTTCTTAGTTCTATTCAGGTAGGACTTCAGCAAGCTAGATGAGAAGGTGATTTAGAGGCTTGGCAGTTCACTGTTAGAATACAACCCCCAGATCAACAGGGAAATATTACAGCTACATTTGAGCCTTTTCCTTTCAAATTACTCAAAGAATTTAAACAAGCTATTCATATAAAAAAGAATGTTAAAAAAACAGCAAGTCAGGCTGCCAGATAGAGGAAAAAAGAAATCTGTTGAGCCTGAAATATGTCCAAAATGTAAAAAAGGAAAACACTGGACAAGTCAGTGTCATTCTTAAATTTGATAAAGAAAGGAACCCGATTTCAGGAAACGCCATGAGGGGCCCATCCCAGGCCCCGTTCTAAACTGGGGCATTTCCAGCTCAGGCCATTCCCTCACCCCTGTACAATGTCTGTCCCCCGCCACAGCCAGTAGTGCCACAGTAGATTTATGCTGCACAAAAGCTGTGAGCCTTCTGCCTGGGGCATCCCCACAAAAGGTCCCAACAGGAGTCTGTGGACCCTTGCCAGCAGGTGCAATAGGATTACTTTTAGGAAGGTCTAGTGTAAGTTGAAAAGGTGTAAAAATACATACAGGAGTCATTGATTCAGATTATAATGAGGAAATTCAAATTGTCATATCTACTTCTGTTCACTGGAAAGCAGAGCCAGGAGAGCACATAGCACAGCTCCTGACTGTGCTATATGTAGGAATAGGAAAAAGTAAAATTAAATGAACAGGAGGATTTGGAAGCGCAAATAAACAAGGCAAAGCAACTTATTAGGTAAATCAAATTACTGATATACATCCTGCCTGTGAAATAACTATTCAAGGAAAGAAAGTTAAAGGTTTGGTAGATAGAAGAGCAGACATTTCAATCATTTCTCTACAGCACTGGCGGTCCATGTGGCCAATTCAACCCACTCAATTTAACATAGTTAGAGTTGGTAAAGCCGCTGAAGTATATCAAAGTAGTTATATTTTGTACTGTGAGAGACCCGATGGACTACCTGGGACTATTCAGCCAATTATAACTTCTGTACCTATAAATTTATGGGGAAGAGATTTAGTACAACGATGGGGAGCACAAGTTCTAATTCCAGAAGAATTATGTAGCCCTCAAAGTCAACATACAATGCATGAAATAGGGTATGTACCTGGTATGGGACTAGAAAAAAATTTGCAAGGTTTGAAAGAACCACTTCAAGCAGAAAAACAAAGTTCCTGCCAAAGATTAGGAAATAATTTTTGATGGCAGCTGTTGTTAAGCCTCCAGAACCTATACCTTTAAAATGGTTAACAGATAAGCCAATTTGGATAGAACAATGACTGCTAAATAAAGAGAAACTGGAGGCTTTAGAGAAATTAGTTGCTGAACAATTAGAAAATGGGCACATAGATCCAACATTTTCTCCTTGGAATTCTCCAGCTTTTGTAATTAAGAAAAAATCAGGTAAATGGAAAATATTAACTGACTCAAGAGCCATCAATTAAGTTATACAACCTATGGGAGCATCACAGCCAGGATTGCCTTCTCCTGCTACAATTCCAAAAAATTAGCCTCTAATAGTCATAGATTTAAAAGACTGTTTACTATCCCTTTAGCTGAGCAAGACTATGAACGGTTTGCATTTACAATTACTGCAGTAAACAACCTGCAGCCTGCTAAGCGTTTTCATTGGAAAGTGTTGCCACAAGGCATGTCAACGAGCCCAACAATTTGCCAGATATACGTGGGGCAAGCAATTGAACCTACTAGTACAAAATTTTCACAGTGTTACATTATTCACTATATGGCTGATATACTTTGTGCTGCCCCCACTTGAGAAATATTACCCCAATGTTATGATCACTTGCAAAATTCTGTTTCTTGCACTGGTTTAATTATAGCTCCTGACAAAATTCAGACTACTACTCCTTACTCCTACTTGAGTACCTGAGTAAATGACACTACCTTTGTGGCACAGAAAGTTGCCTTATGTAAGGATCAACTAAAAACATTAAATGACTTTCAAAAATTACTAGGGGGTATTAATTGGATACGACCTGCTCTAGGCATTCCTACCTATGCCATGAGTAATCTGTTTTCTATCCTTAGAGGAAATCCTAGTCTCGCTAGCCCTCAGCAATTAACGAAAGAGGCTGAGGCAGAGTTACAACTGATTGAGAAGCAGGTCCATAAAGCTCAGATAAATAGAATAGATCCAGAGAAGACAAGATTTGTTAATTTTGTCAACTCAGCATTCACCTACTGGTGTTATTGTCCAAGAACAGGACTTAGTAGAGTGGCTTTTCTTCCACATACTAATTCACGGACTCTAACTCCTTATTTAGATCAAATCGCTACTTTGATAAGGATTAGGAGAACTAGGACTGTTAAATTACATAGATATGATCCTGGAAAAATTATTGTCCCTCTCACGAAGGCACAAATACAGGAAGCTTTTATAAATAGTCTTACTTGGCAAGCCCATTTAGCTGACTGTGTAAGTATTCTCGATAATCATTTTCCTAAAATGAAGCTGTTCCAGTTTTTGAAATTAACTAATTGGATTCTCCCTAAAATAACTAAATTGAAACCAATTGAAGGCTCCAAGAATGTTTTTACAGATAGGTCTAATAATAGTAAAGCTTCTTATTCTGGCTCAAAAAGTAAAGTTTTTCAGATGCCCTATACTTCAGCTCAAAAAGCAGAGCTTGTAGCTGTAATTGAGGTATTGACTGCTTTTGATATGCCTATTAATGTGATTTCTGATTCTTCATACGTGGTTCACTCCACACAGTTAATTGAAAATGCTCAGTTATGATTTCATACAGATAAACAATTGATGACTTTATTTACCCAATTGCAAACAGCAGTTAGGAGTAGAATGCACCCTTTTTACATCACTCACATTAGAGCTCATACACCTCTTCTAGGACCTTTAACTAAAAGGAATCAAATGGCTGATCGCCTAGTTGCTACTGCAATATCTAATGCTAGACACTTTCACAATTTAACCTATGTTAATGCCTCTGGTCTCAAGCACAGATACAACATTACCTGGAAAGAAGCTAAAGCTATTATCCAGCAATGCCCAACTTGCCAAATGGTGTATTCCTCATCTTTTACAGGAGGAGTTAATCCTCAAGGACTGGAACCTAACTCTATTTGGCAAATGGATGTCACACATGTTCCCTCGTTTAGGAGACTAGCTTATGTACATGTATGTGTGGACACCTTTTCTCACTTTGTCTAGGCTACATACCAAACAGGAGAGTCTGCTGCCTGTGTTAAACATTGTCTTTTGCAGTGTTTTTGGTGATGGGCATTCCAGCTCCTATTAAAACAGATAATGCCCCAGGCTATACTAGCCAAACTCTAGCTACATTTTTCTCTATGTGGAATATTAAACACATTACTGGTATCCCATACAATTCTCAAGGACAAGCCATAATAGAAAGAAAGAATCTCTCCCTAAAACAGCAGTTGCAAAAGCAGAAAAGAAGAGACAGAGAATATGGAACCCCACAAATGCAACTGAACCTAGCATTATTAACTTTAAACTTTTTGAGCCTGCCCAAAGGTCAGATGTTATCAGCAGCTGAACAGCATCTGCAGAAACCAGTTGCAAAGACAGAAGCAAAACACCTGATTTAGTGGAAAGATCCAATAACCAAAAGGAAATAAGTAAAATAATAACTTAGGGTAGAGGTTATGCTTGTATTTCTCCAGTCCAAAATTAACAGCCAATTTCGATACCATCAAGACATCTGAAACCTTATCATGAGCCAGATGCCAAGGAAGAGACTCCAGGAGGATCCACAGCCACCCACCTGGGGACAGATCAAGAAGCTGTCACAGATGGCAGAAGAAAACCTGAGGAAAGTGGGACAACCAGTCACACTGAATGATTTAATGGTAGCTATGATAGCAGTTATCACCACCGCTGTGAGTATTCCTTCAATAAAGGCTGGTAATAATGCCTAGATGCAATAACTCTGACAGTTACACATGCTTTCTGATCTCAGTATTTATCATAATAAATCTGCTCCTATAATTGAGGCATACCACCCTCAAAAACCTATTTGTAAACAGGACTGGACCCAGTTAGAAAAAATGAACGTACTTGTTCAAGAAGCTTGTTTTGCAGAACAGGCAAAGGTGCTGCACAACGATTCCTATGGAATCATTATTAATTGGTCACCTAAAGGGATGTTTAGCTCGAATTGCACCTCTCAGTCTGTGTGCCATGGCTACACTATGTTCAGATGATCTGGACAAAATGGTCAGATAGTAGAAATGATAAGAAGTACAGCAAAAGTTCCTATTACCTGGAACCATGGTGGTATAGTTGCACCTCAACCTCAAATGATATGGCCCGCTCTAGGAGCTAAACATAAAGATTTGTGGAAACTATTAAATGCTCTTAATAATATCAAAATTTAGGAAAGAATAGAAATGCATCTAGAAGGACATTCTACACACTTGTTTTTAGATATAGCAAAATTAAAAGGACAAAAATTTAAGCATCCTAGGCACAACTGACCTTAATGCCAGGAACTGGAGTGCTTAAAGGAGCTGCAGACAAATTAGCCAGTAATCCATTAAAATAGATAAAAACACTTAGAAGCTCTGTGATTTCAATGATGATTGTGCTTTTAATCTATGTTATTTGTCTTTGTATAGTCTGCAGATGTGGATCCCAACTCCTGCGAGAAGTAGCTCACTGTGACAAAGCTGCCCTTGCTTTTATCTCTTTGCAAATCGAAGAAAGGAGACATGTTGGGAGCAAGACCCCCAAAATCTGGCCACAAACTGGTTCCAAAACTGCCCATAAATAAAATCTCTGCAGCACTGTAACATGTTCATAATGTCCCTAAAGCCCAAGCTGGAAGGTTGTAGGTTTACAGGAATGAGGGCAAGGAACACCTGGCCCACCCAGGGCAGAAAACCGCTTAAAGGCATTCTTAAGCCACAAATAATAGCATGAGCGATCTGTGTCTTAAGGGCATGTTCCTGCTGCAGTTAACTAACCCAACCTATCCCTTTAATTTGGTCCGTCCTTTCATTTTCCATAAGGGATACTTTTAGTTAATTTAATATCTATAGAAACAATCATAATGACTAGTTTGCTGTTAATAAATATGTAGATAAATCTCCGTTTGAGGCTCTCAGCTCTGAAGGCTGTGAGACCCCTGATTTCCCACATCACACCTCTATATTTCTGTGTGTGTCTTTAATTCCTCTAGCACCACTAGGTTAAGGTCTCCCTGATCAAGCTGGTCTCGGCACATTCTTGTGCAGGTATGGCTCCCTATTGTTATTGTCATAATGGCATAAATGTCATCTCAGGGAGGCATTTGGGTCACTCCATGTAATGATTTCCCAGCTCTTCTGTCAACATTCTACTTGATATTATAGCAGTTGCTCTTTTTTTTCATATATTTACTTTAGTGTTTTTGGTCATCTGTCCTCAGACTGGTCCTCAGGGTAGGGTGCAGGCAGGATTCAGTCATTTTCTGTACCACATGTTGGGTCCACCAGGGTAACTGGCAAAGGGTTAGTGCAAGGAAAAGACTGGCTAAGTGAATGCGTCGGGGAATCTCAAATTCTCCTTCCTGCTTTTGACCACTTGATAATGTGGGGATCGTTAATAATAACACAAGGTGCATGACCTCAGTGTGACTCTTCCTTGCTCCAGCTTCTCCAGCAAAGCTCAGTAGGCACCAGAAACCCAGAAGGCTGTCACCACCTAGAGGCCATCACTGGCACTGCAGCCCCATGCAGGAGCATCACAGAACAAAGCTACTTTTATGTTTGGGTCCTCAAGACACTGACTCTCCAGGGTCCCAGGGGACAAAGGAGCAGCATCTGAAGACTCCAAGTGCAATAAGAATAACCTTGGAAGCCTCCATTGTCCTCTCTTTGCCTCCACCTTTTGCGTTGTGCTCTTTACTCACGAGGGACAACCCCTCATCCAGGGAAATTATTTTCTACTACTTCTAAATGATCATCTAAAGAACACAACAGGAACTAGTATTTTCCCTGAACTTCAGACTCAGAGACCAGTTACATGGCACATTTTGCTCTATCCCACCTTTATCTCCCCAAGATGCCTCTGGAGTGACCATGCCTCACTCTGAAGGACTTCTAGGGAGTGGAAGCATTTTTGCAGTCTCAGAGCAAAGAGTCTTGGTTCACCTATGAAGAACCAAGGCCAGCAGACACTTACAGGTTTGTGCAACCATTGAGGTCACCCACTTCAAGTACTCTTGTTTGTGAGGTACAAAAAGGTTTTGCTGTAACCATTGTCTATACTAGGCTGAGATGGGGACATAGCTCATTTCCATTTCTGGTACCTACAGATGTGGATAGCAGGACCCCAGTCCTGTCCTCTTGAAACTGACCTGGAGAGGACCCCAGCTGATGGAGAACCCTGGAACCCGGAGGATCCTCCTGCTCATTCTCTGTGCCCCTGGACATGTAGCTAGAGGAGGGCATGCCCCTGGCTTATAGCAGAGCTGCCCCTATTCTGTTTTTTTTTGTGTGTGTGTGTGTGTGTGTGTGTGTGTGTGTGTGTGTGTGTGTTTGTCTTATGCCTGGTTTCTGTCTACCTCTTCTCTGTCCTCACCTCTGTGATCTTTCCCTGAGAAGTGTTTGTGTGTGTGTGTCTGTGGGTACTTACCTGAGAATATGGAGACAAAAATAGCCCATGTGGAGAAGGAGAGCACAGGGCTTTCTAGTATTTAGGGGCTCTAATTTCCAGAGCAAACCTGATGGGTGCAGTAGAGCCAAGGCCGAGGAAGCTGGAGCTCTCCCTAATACTCCAGACCCTGCCTTCCTCCTGGGGTCTGCCTCTTTTGGGGCCTCAGTTTCCCAACTTTAAAATGAGAAATTGGGATGGTTTTTCTTTTTTAAAATTTCAATAGGTTTTAGGGGTACAGGTGTTGTTTTGTTACATGGCTAAATTCTTTAGTGGTGGTTTCTGAGATTTTGGCACACCCATCATCTGAGCAGTAAACACTGTACCCAAAGTGTAGCCTTTTATCCCTTACTCACTCCCATTTTTCCTCCCTGAGTCCCCAAAATTCACGTATCATTCTTATGCCTTTGCATCCTCATAGCTTAATTCCCACTTATAAATGAGAACATATGATGTTTGTTTTATCATTTCTGAATTACTTCACTTAGAATAAGGTCTCCAGCTCCGTCCAGGCTGCTGAGAACGCCATTATTTTGTTCCATTTTATGACTGAGTAGTATTCCATAATATACATGTACCACATTTTCTTTATCCACTCAATATTGATGAGCATTTTGTCTAGTTCCATATTTTTGCAATTGCAAATAGTGCTGCTATAAACTTGCATGTGCAAGTGTCTTTTTCATATAGTGACTTCTTTTCCTCTGGGTAGATAGCCAGTACTGAGATTGCTGGATCAAATGGTAGATAACCTTTAGTTCTTTAAGGAATCTCCATACTGTTTTCCATAGTGGTTGTAACTGCAGAAGCATATGCTCATCGAGAACATGGCTTCAGATTCCTCAATAGTTGATGAAATATTGGGGTGGGATGGGTTTGTGTGCCCATGGGTGCTCAAGCCTCCTTACATGGCTAATGCAGATGGACATAGAGCTTGAGGCAGCCTGGTCTCTTTTCCTGAGCTGGCTGATTTCAATACAATGAACCAAGGTCTCTGATCTTGAAGCTGGTCCCGCCAGACACCCCACCTTCAGCCACCATCTGCTGTGTGCCTCCTATATCCTGTGGGGCCCATGGCAACCCGCATGACAGTGAGGGGGCACAAGGCACTGGACCTGTGGGCCTGGGGAAGACAAAAACACTTTTCTGTTTCTCCCAAACTTTCAAGTGTGTTGTCAGGTATTTAATTTTGATTATGACTGAGATGATATGTTCATGTATTTACAGCTATTTAAATATAATATTTTTTGCAAACTGTGGGATAATGTCTTTCACTTTTTTTTTCATTTTTCCTCCTCATCTGTGCACAGATGGGTGGCCGACTCTGGAGCCCAGCCTGTCGCTTCCCAGTCTGGTGGTGAATCCTCCATAGTCTAGTGTGGAGGAAAAGTTAAATATTAAATTTGAACTTAATTGAACCTGGACACAAACAATGGTCACCAAGTCCTGGAACAGCTTGTATGAGCCCCTTGAGGCATTCATCCAGAGCTGTTTCAGAGAAATCTCTATTTCAATCTATTCCTATACATTCGTTATTGTAAAACAATAGAGAAGCACAAAAACAAGTTGACCTTTTTGTGTTCCTTGAGCCCAGTAGTGAAAGGCCCTTGTGACTAAGCCCCATGCCTAAAAACTCATTACAAAAGAGCTAGGGTCCCAGATTGCACCAAAGCTTCGTGAGACCTCTCCTCATCTGCATGGACGAGTGGCCGGCTCTGGAGCCCAGGTTGTTTCTTCCCAGTCTGGTGGTGTAAATATATACAGTCTGGTGAGTGTAAACATTTTCCATTCTCCTCTTCCCATTGCAATTTGCTTATTATATCTGCAATCTGCTTATATTGATTTGCTTATTATAGCACTTGCTTATTATGTTATTTATTATATCTGCATTGCCATTTATGTGGTATAAAGCTTGTTACCGTTAAAAGTATTGTGTGTGTGTCTTTTCTTCTCCCCTCGCGCATTTCCCGCACAGAACATTTTTGGCGTCACAAACAGGATTTGAAAACAAAAGCGTGCTGCTTTTTGGCCGGAAGGTCTGGGCTGGAGGCTCAGAGACTTCCGATATCTTGGGATGGGGACTCCCCCAGTTCTCCCCCTTGGCAATTGAATGGTCAAGGGAAACTGGACTTTATGAGAATTGAGAATCTAAATTAGTGCGATTTAAACTTTTGACTGTCCGTGAAGTGCTGCAGGGGATTCCAGTCCCCAAAGGAGATGCTGAGGGATCTCCCGGAAGGATGGTGTTCGTTTACCGCTTATAAGTTAATGTGTCAAGATACGGGCTGGTTGCTACAAGAGAAATGTAAGTTGGAAAAGGAAAATGCTAGTGTGATTTCCAGACTGACCCTGGCCCAATGCCAGGCCTATATCTGGACTGATCAGGCTCAAAGCTATCAGCCCGTTGCTGAAGAAGGCAGCTGTCCGAATGGCTCGGTCAGGTTAAAACTGAAGAACTAGTTTGCTGGGGCTTGGAGCAGGTAAAAACCCAGCTCCTATCTCAAGGATGGGAAATTAACCTTAGCAAAATTCAAAGACCTGCACAAACTGTAAAATTCCTTGGCATCCTATGGAATGCAGAGATATAATCCATTTTACCAAAGGTAAGGCTAAAATACTGGAATTTGCAACCCTTAGGACTAAAAAGGAGGCCCAGACATTTACTGGCATCTTTGGATTCTGGAGACATCATATGCCCCACTTGAGTAACATTTTACAACCTCTGCATGCAGCCACTAGAAAACGCTATGACTCTCACTGGGGAGAGAAAGAGAGCATGGCTTTTGAACAAGCTAAACAAGCAGCGCAACTGGCCCTGGATCTATGGTCCATACAGGATGGGCCAGGAGAACTGCAAGTAACTGTCCTAGATCAACATGCTAATTGGAGCCTTCGGCAGAAACAAGATGGAAAGAGGGTACTTTTCATGTTTTGGACCCAGAAACTGCCAGAGGTCGGAAAAGCTTACACCCCTTTCGAGAAGCAATTGTTAGCTTGCTATTGGGCTTTGCTGGAAATGGAATACCTCTGCTTCAACCATGATGTCTTTATGAGGCCTGAAATTCCTGTTATGACTTGGGACATGAGTTCCCCCAAAACCCACCAGATAGGACATACCCAAGAAGGTAGCATCATAAAATGGACGTGGTATATACAAGACCAGGCTAAGCCAAAACCAAAGTGGGTATCACTTTTACATGAGGATGTACAAAACCTGTCAGCTCAGAAAACCACCGAGCAAGTCCTGCAGATAGGGAAGGAAACCTCCCCCACCCAATGGGGCAAATCCTTTAAAGGACTAAGCCCAGAGGATCAGAAACATGTTGGTTTACTGATGCATCCACCAAATATATTGGTGGAAACCAATGCTGGAAGGCCCTGGCTTATAATCCTATTAAAAACATCAGCATTTCTGATGAAGGAAGGGGTGGGAGCAGCCAGTTAGCTGAACTAGTAGCCGTTCCTCTCAGCTATTCAGGAGGAGACCGGAGGGATTTGTCACTTCTATACCAACTCTTGGTCAGTACCAAATGGTCTTACTACCTGGATTCCCCAATGACAAGAAAACAAATGTTTAATTGGGAATAAAGAGGTTTAGGGAAACCAATACTGGGAAGATATCTCAATCCTGGCCCACACTATCATTATCACTGTTTTCTTTTCTTTTTCTTTTCTTTTCTCTATTTTATTTTTGTGTGTGTGTGTGAGATGGAGTCTATCTCTGTCAGCATACTGGAGTGCAGTGGCACAGTCTCACTCACTGCAACCTCCACCTCCGAGGTTCAAGCGGTTCTCCTGCCTCAGTCACCTGAGTAGCTGGGATTACAGGCATGCACCACCACGCCCACCTAATTTTTATATTTTTAGTAGAGACAGAGTTTCACCATGTTGGCCAGGATGGTCTCAATCTCCTGACCTCGTGATCTGCCCACGTGGGCCTCCCAAAGTGCTGGGATTACAGGCATGAGCTACTGCACCCTGCCCTGTTTTCCATATTGATGCAAATGAGTCTCTGCTTTCTCTTGACAGACTATTTAATGAGAAGGAAGAAAAATAGGCCAAAATTTCCACCATAAAGGTAAACTTGAATGCAGATGAATGGATTACAACGTGTTCAAGCTTTGCAATGAGAGGCATTATAGTGTATGGTGGTATAATTGATAGTGATTACTAGGGAGAGTTAAAGGTCATTTTATACGATACCACTCCAGATTCTTTTGCTATAAAACCACAGATGCGGGCTGCTCAATTGTTAGTAGTACCCTGTCAAAATTAACCCCTGAGGAAATCTCTGCGCCAACAGAGTCTACATATAGAACTGGGGGATTCAGATCCCCTGGTACAGGTAGGTTAAATCCTGGAGCCAAACTATGGGTACAGAGCCCATCAGATCCCAACCCTAAGGCTGGTGACCTTGTAGCTATGAAAGCAGAAAATGAAGGCATAGTACCATTTCCTAAAGATGAAAAATAATGTCATGTTCCCCTCTGTTTTTGTTTTTACAAGGAATAACCTATCTATTAATGGTCAGCACCTGTGTCTTTGTGTCTGAGGCCAAGAATAAATTCATCACCTTGGTAGCCACTGCTGCAACTGAAGTCAACCACAATCAATGATGGCTGTATGTTGAGTTGCCGGAGGCCGCCTGGAATGTGTTACCTTGCAGAATTGTCCCTGACAACATTTCTGAATGGCTATGTAGTTACCAATAGGGCCACAACAACAACACTCACAATCCAATCTGGACTTCTTTGACCACATTAAGCAATCTATCTTTGCCAAGTCAGACAAAAGATGAACTCCACCCTCACCTTGCGTCGAAAGCCTTGGTATCCTGCCCAATATTCCTGGAATGGTACCTACTGAAAACCTGCTATGCTGGTGGCTGGATTCCATACAGCCCTTGCTTTGTCTGGAGGCGTTAAATGGCTCCTCTAATGTTTCTCTGGGGTTTCTCCAGACATTTGTCAACACATACTCCCAATCAACAACATTGCCCCCAGTGAATCACAATCTCTTTCCTATTTTAATAAGACATTAGTACATTATTATTACAGTAGCTCCATTACTGTCCCCTGGCGGGCCCTCTGAGTATGCAGATCCTGTGGATGGTGATACCAGTCCCTGCATTGGATGGGGAGATACACTTGGGGTTGGCCATTTATTACATTTACCACCCAGGTTAATATTCCCCTCCCCAGTAATCTTGATGCTTACAAACACTGCTGGTTACAAATACGCTGGCCTCCCTGGTGGTGGTACCCTATCACAGTATTCTCCCCTGCTGCTGGTACAATCCTGCTTCAGCAACAGATTAAAATATTTACCTTACATGTAGAAAAAGCTCTTAATGATAGTAGCACTGGACTTATGTTGTTATCAGATGAATTTTCTCAGCTGAGTACTATTGTGTTGCAAAATCAAATGGCATTAAATATACTTACGGCAGCCCAAGGAGGGATTTGCACCTTACCGCATACTGAATGTTGTGTGTATATCCCTGGCAGTTCTCACAATATGACTCTCCTTGCAAAGCCATGCTGGGTGTGGTTTTTATTAATTGTGCTTTTAATTCTCACGTGCTTACCCTTGATCTGTAATCTATATCAATTATGCATTCCCCATGAATCTGTGAGGGTATTTTCCTACATTTGAGTATCCAAGCGAGGTCAAATGTGGAGGAAATGTTAAATATCAAATTTGAACTAAATTAAACGTGGACACAAACAATGGTCACCAAGTCCCGGCACAGGTTGTGTGAGCCCCTTGAGGCATTCATCCAGTGCTGTTTCAGAAAAAAATCTCTATTCCAATCTATTCCTATACGTTAGTTATTGAAAAACAATAGTCACAAAAACAAGTTAACATTTTTGTGTTCCTTGAGCCCAGTCGCAAATGGCCCTCAGGACAGGGCCTCATGCCAAACAACTTGTTACAAAAAGAGATTCCACGACCACACCAAGGCTTCAAGAAACCTCTGCTTATTTGTGTACGGACTTGGCTGGGAGCCCAGGTTGTTGCTTCCTGGTGTGGTGACGAATCCTCCCTAGTCTGATGAGTGTAAATATATCTGACCCTTTTGAACAAGGTTCTTTGCTATTGCTTTATGACCCCACCTCCTACCTCCAGCGAAAATGTCCTTGGCACTGTCTCTTCCCATCAGAGAGACACCACTGATTGTGGTGTGATGGGACACATGTTCCTGGTGGTGGCACCAGCATATATTAGATGTGCTTGGGCTGAACACCAAAGAGCTACGACAGGCTGTTACATAGAATATTATGAGGACTACATATTTTTAAATAGAGTGAACTATGGACCACATAGTTTGGTTTTGTACATTTACTTATATATTTTCCCTTGTCCCTTTCCCATTGCAATTTGCTTATGATATCAATTTGCTTATTATATCTGCATTGCCATTTACGTGGGATAAAGCTTGTTTACACTTAACGGTATTGTGTGTATCTTTTCTTCTCCCCTCATGCATTTCCTGCACAGAACACCATATTTCTCAGAGGCCTTGTTTATTCTTTTTTATTCTTTCTTCTTTAATCATGTCTGCATGCCTCATTTTGGCAAGGTGGTCTTCAAACTCTGATATCCTTTCTTCTGCGTGGTCAATTAGGCTATTTATACTTTTGTATGCTCCATGAAGTTCTTGTGCTGTGTTTTTCAGCTCCATCAGGTCATTTATGTTCCTTTCTAAACTGGTTATTCTAGTTAGCAACTCCTCTAACCTTGTATCAAGTTCCTTAGCTTCTTTGCCTTGGGTTAGAACATGTTCCTTTAGATCAGTGGAGTGTGTTATTACACATCTTCTGAAGCCCACTTCTGTCACTCCATCCATCTCATCCTCTGTCCAGTTCTGTGAATTTGGTGAAGAGACATTGTGATCATCTCTAGGAGATGAGGCCTTTCAGGGGATTTTGCTGATTCTTTCTCATCTTCATGAGTTTGTCTAATTTCAATCTTTGAGGCTGCTAACCGTTGGATGAGGTTTTTTTGTTTTGTTTTGAGATAGAGTCTCACTCTGTCACCCAGTATGGAGTGCAGTGGCAAAATCTCGGGTCAATGCAACCTCTGCCTTCCAGATTCAAGTGATTCTCATGTCTCAGACTCCTGAGTAGCTGGGACTACAGGCAGGCACCACAATGCCTGTCTATTTTGTATTTTTTAGGAGAGACTGGGTTTCATTATGTTGGCCAGGCTGGTCTCGAGCTCCTGGCCTCAAGCAATCTGCCCACCTTGGCCTCCCAAAGTGTTGGGATTACAGATGTGAGCCACCATGCCTGGCCTTGGATGGGGTTTTTGTGGGTACTTTTTGTTGTTGATGCTGTTGTTGTTGCTTTCTGTTTGCTTGTTGTTCTTTAAATTGTCAGGTTCCTATTCTGTAGGGCTGCTGCAGTTTGCTGGGGAGTCACTTCAGGCCCTATTCATCTGGTTCACTCCTGTGTCAGGAGATGTCACTCGAGGTTGGAGGGGCCGGGTGCGGTGGCTCAAGCCTGTAATCCCAGCACTTTGGGAGGCCGAGACGGGCGGATCACAAGGTCAGGAGATCGAGACCATCCTGGCTAACATGGTGAAACCCCGTCTCTACTAAAAAAAAATACGAAAAACTAGCCGGGCGAGGTGGCGGGCGCCTGTAGTCCCAGCTACTCGGGAGGCTGAGGCAGGAGAATGGCGTAAACCCAGGAGGCAGAGCTTGCAGTGAGCCAAGATCGCGCCACTGCACTCCAGCCTGGGCGACAGAGCGAGACTCCGTCTCAAAAAAAAAAAAAAAAAAAAAAAAGGAGGTTGGAGAACAGCAAAAAAAGGTGCCTGCTCCTTCCTCTGAAAATATGATTACTGCTGAGCTTGTTAGAAATTCAAAAAAATCAGCAGGGAGCCCTGGCTCACGCCTGTAATTGCAGCACTTTGGGAGGCCGAGGCGGGCAGATCACCTGAGGTTGGGAGTTTGAGACCAGCCTGACCAACATGGAGAATAACCCATCGCTACTAAAAATACAAAAATAGCTGGGCATGGTGGCACATGCCTGTCACCTCAGCTACTCAGGAGGCTGAGGCAGAATTGCTTGAACCCAGGAGGGGGACACTGCCGTGAGCCAAGATCATGCCACTGCACTCAAGCCTAGGCAATAAGCATGAAACTCCATCTCAAATTTAAAAAAGGAAATAAATACATAAATCAGACTTTACTCCAGATCTTCTTGGAAATTAAAAAAAAAAAAAACCTACATAAGAAAATCTTCACCTTATGGTACATAGTAAATTTGAGAGGTTCCTTCTGAATGTTTTTTCCATCTGAAAAATATTCACAACTCATTCCGTATGATGTAAATACAGCACTCAAAAATGTACGTTTGTGTTCATGCCCTTAATTTTATACTTTAATATCTAGAAAAATACAACATATGAACAGAGTTCTCGATCTTATGGTGCTCTTTTTTATCATAGAGAACACGTTAGAAAATATTTCTGTGTTGAAAATCATTTTATTGGATAATTTTAGTGCTATAACTCAGAACCACTTCTCTTTACTCTCTAATTTCACTTTAAGTCAAATTAAAAATTCCACCCATGGCCACTTGGTAAAAATGTGTGTGTGTGTTTTTCAAGGATCATTACTATTTAGAGATGTGGCCATAGAATTCTCTCTGGAGGAGTGGCATTGCCTGGACACTGTACAGTGGAAATTGTATATGAATGTGATGTTAGAGAACTACGGAAATATGGTCTTCCTTGTTGAGGATAACTTTAAGACATTATTCATAACATACCCTAAAGGTTTTCTCTTTTATGTAGAATTTTTTTAGTAATTTATTCTTTGCAGAAAAGTTTCAGATCCCCCCCCTTTTTTTTTTTTTTTTTTTTTTGAGACGGAGTCTCGCTCTGTCACCCAGGCTGGAGTACAGTGGCCGGATCTCAGCTCACTGCAAGCTCTGTCTCCCAGGTTTATGCCATTCTCCTGCCTCAGCCTCCCGAGTAGCTGGGACTACAGGCACCCGCCACTTCGCCCGGCTAGTTTTTTTGTATTTTTAGTAGAGACGGGGTTTCACCGTGTTAGCCAGGATGGTCTCGATCTCCTGACCTCGTGATCCGCCCGTCCGCCCCAAGTGCTGGATCGCTGACCCCCCCCCCCCCACCCAGCTTGAGTTTCTTGCGTTTCTTTCCTTTTTGATTGCTTATTCTCTTTAGTGTATTTTTGACAGTTCTGCCCTGATCATGCCACCATTTTTTAAGTTGCTGACCGGGGGGTGGGATTCACAGCAATCGTCCGGTTAGCCATCCTGCCAGCCCGGACTGGATACGCCCCCACCGCCGATTTTTTTTTTTTGGACTTCACCGTGCCAGATCTCGATCCTGACCTCGTGATCCGCCCGTCTCGGCCTCCCAAAGTGCTGGGATTACAGGCTTGAGCCACCGCGCCCGGCCTGCCACCACCAATTTTTGATTCAGTAGTACCAGACAGTAAAATTCAGAAATCTACAAATTGAAAGCATTTTCTAAATATTTAGAAATTTGTTACAAATTAGTATTTTGGTACTAATTTACTAGAATATTTTATTACATCTGCTCTGCCGAGCACATTACTAGCTTATAATTGGAGAACATGAGCAAGATTCATGTTATTTATTCTTAATACAACAGTATTGTTGTCCCTAAGCCTGACCTAATCACCCATCTGGAGCAAGGAAAAAAAGCTTTGACTCTGAAGAGACATTAGATGATTGCCAAACCCCCAGGTATGAGTGAAAATGAACACAACAGACAACACAGGTAAGAGGTCTCAAGCTCAAAGAGAAAGCCAATCCTTAAAATCTGATTCGGGAAGCTGTGTTCCAAAGAAGTATTTCCTGGGCAGCTGTTTTTTTTGTTTGTTTGTTTCCGTTTTTTAATTCTGCTCTCACAAAGGGGCATCTTCAGTCTTATACTTTTAAATTCTCTGAGGATTCTACTTTTCTTTCAGTGAACTTCCTTAAAGTTCACAGTGACAGCCAAAGTCCTCTTCATGGCATATAAGAGACTGCACAATCTGGCTGCTTTTCTATTGTTTTGGGGACACACAAATATCTACATGATTTTGAGAAACTATTTTTTAAGTTCTCTTTTTTCATCATGTCTGAAAAATGTGATAGTAGTCTCTGGTGCATTTTTGTTCACTTTATTGCACAATCCATTCTGTTTTTATTACTATACAGTCTTAAAATACAGCTTGACATTGTAAGTATGATATCCTTCTACTTTTTTTTTTCCTCAAGATTGCTTTGGCTATTCAAAGTTTATTTTAGTTTCATATAAATTTTAAAATAGTATTTTCCAGTATTCTGAAATACCACTGCAAATTTTGATAGGAAGTTTATTGAATCTGTAGATAACTTTGGATAATATGGCACTTTAATGATATTTATTCTTTCAACCCATAAAGTTTTATATTTATTTGGATTTTCTCTAATTTTTTTTATTGACATTTTATTGTAAAGACTTTTTAGCTTTTCTCAGAAATTTATTTATTGAGACAGTGACTTGCTTCTTCTCCAGGCTGGAGTGCAGTGGCATGATCTCAGCTCACTGGAACCTCCCTCTCAGGTTCTAGCGATTCCCCCGCCTCAGTCCTAATTAGCTGAAACTACAGACGTGCACCACCATGCCCAGCTAATTTTTTGTATTCTAGCAGAGATGGGGTTTCACCATGGCCAAGATTGTCTTGATCTCCCGACCTCATGACCCACCTCAGCCTCCAAAACTGCTGACATTACAGGCATGAGCCACTAGATCTGGCCAGAAATTTATTATTTAATGCTATAGTAAATAAGATTTTTTTTCTTCCTTTTTTTCTTTTTCAGATGGAGTCTGGCACTGTTGCCCAGCCTGGAGTGCAATGCCATGATCTCTGCTCACCACAACCTCCACCTCCCAAATTCAAGGATTCTCCTCCCTCATCCTCCCAACGAGCTTGGATTGCAGGTGCTAGCCATCACACCCAGCTAATTTTTGTATTTTTAGTAAAAATGAGGTTTCAACATGCTGGCCAGGCTGGTCTCAAACTCCTGACCTCAGATCATTCACCCGCCTCGGTCTCCCAAAGTGCCCAGTGTGTTCCTCTGTTTAATCAGAGAGTTTAAGTGTATAAAACCATATATATAATGTATGTTGATTTTATATTTTGCTAATTTACTGAGTGTATTTATTGGTTTAGACAGGTTTTAATGTACTGCATAAGGTTTTTCAAATATAAGATTGTATGATCTACAAACAGCAACTTTTTATTTTTCTTCAATTTCAATGGCTATTTTTATTTCTTTGACTAATTCTGCCACGTACTTCCAGTGCTACATTAAAATAGAACCACTGACAATGGGCACAATATAGTTTTGTATTGGCGTCTGAATTTGATGGAGCAAACACCTTTTCAATTTTTCATACACTGATTTTACAAGGTAAAGATCTTT